GGTTTCACGGCCCCGGGCGGCGAGCCCCGCGGAGCCCCGACGCGAGGACAGCTTGGGGCGCCCGGACCTCTCTGGAGAGGGCGCCCTCCTCTCCGCCGCCGCCGCGGCGCGCCCAGAAGTTTTGAAGACGGAGAGCCCGGTCCCCAACTTCTCCGGACATGAATCAAACCGCGGGCGTCTCCAATAGCGTCAGGTGTCCCCCTGGCAAAGGCCACAAGGTAAGGGACCCGCGACGGAGGGGCTGGTGCGGGACCTGGTGCGCGACCTGGAGGGCAGGGCGAGGCAGTCGTTCGGGGCGAGTGGCCCTCGCTGGTTTGGGGACTCCGAGGCGCCGGTCCCTGCGCGTGTGGGGTCCTCGGGTCCCCACTGCTGACGGGGCGCGAGGTGCCGGTTTTCGCACCGGGAGCCAGCGCCAGGTCTGCGCTGCGCCTGCTCGGGCGACCCGGGCCCCCGGAGCCCCTGGAGCGTTGCGCGGGCTCCNGGGCAGAGGTGACCCCTGGGGCGGGGGCTGGCGGGAGAGCCCCGGGGACTGCGCGCGCGCTCCATTCACTGCCACCCGCCGCCGGGAACCTGGAGCGGTTTCCTGGACGTGACAGATGGTCAGAGAAAGGGGGGCGGGCGGCGGCCTGAGGAACCCGCGCAGAAGCCTCTGGTGGCCCGGAGTGTGCAGCGCCAGGACTTGGGGACCCTCCGCTCCCGTGCGCGGTGCCCCCCGCTCTCCCCAGGGCTCCCCGGCTTGGCCACTGGCCTCTGTGGTTCGCCTTAGCTCGCGGTCAGTTTGCAGGGAAATTTTTACCCGCGTTACCTAGGGGAGCCCTGCAGCAGGACGCATGTGGTTAAGTATTTAAAACCATTTCTATTATTTTTTAAAAACGGAAAGGAGCCTAGGGCTTTGGATGTCAGGTTGGATCTGGAGCCTGAATCTGTGCTGTGCCTTTTAGCTGCTGCTGGCTGCACCTAATTTTGCTTTCCTCATTTTGCATGTTTAGTAGCGAGTTGTTGGATCGTTACTATTAGTATCTGTTTGCTGGGGGTTGGGCGTGTGCAGCTGGCCTGTGTGAGGATGTCGAAGGAACCCTTGGCCTGCTGGGTTGTGCGAGATGCGGATTTAGGACTGAATACCTTCATTTCAACTGAGCAATACCCAGGATTTCCCCCTCCCGTCAGGTCTTGGGTGAAATAATTTAATATGCAAGTCATAGCTCTATCTGTGATTCTAGTAGTTGTGCTTTTTCACATTTACTTTACTAAACATCCGGAGGCGGCGTCGGTTGAATGTGCAGGAGTCGAGAGCATACGATTTCGAATTAAAAATAATAAAGTTTCACACGTTAGGAGTGTGTAGTAGACACCCGGGGAGCTCAGAAGGTTCCATGAATTCTTTAACGGGGATTGTATCGCAGGGTGGGGACACCAGTAAAACTTTCTGAGATGTGTTCGAACAGACTAGGGTACCTGCTAGTCACGAGTTGGGGATCACCCTACGCAACTAACTTGGTCCCCAGAATCGTATTAATTCAATCAACAGCCATCAATCACTCACTTAGCAAACGCTATAAATTCCTATTATTTAGACATTACTTTTTCTCTCTAAAACACAGCTCTATTCACGCCCACCCTTCAGGCTTTCAAATCTTGGATGGGCCCTGGCCGGTTTTGCTCAGTGGTTAGAGCATCGGCCCACGGACGGGTCCCAGGTTTGGTACCGGCCAAGGGCATGTGCCTGGGTCGCAGGCTCAATTCCCGGCCTTAGTCTGGGCTCGTGAGGGAGGCAACCAATCGATGTGTCACTCTCACATCGATGTTTCTCTCTCTCTCTCTCCCTTCCACGCTCTCTGAAAAGCAGTGGAAAAAAATATCCTGGGGTGAAGATTAAAAAAATAAAATAAAAATAAAATCTTAGATGTTCCTCATTTCCGGAAGTGAGATTATTACTACTCTCCATCCCCCGGAAGTAAAAAAAAAAATTCCAATTCTTTCTCTTGAAGATTCCACGCAAGCCATAGCTTGCCTTGGAAGTGTGTGGATTTGAAGGGTGTAGTTTGACCTGAAGGTCACTGCGATGAGGTGTCAGTGCTGGGGACGGACTCGAGGTGGGGTTGCCGAGTGTTCTGGGGTGAATGAGGGAACAGGGACTCAGCGGGGGGTTCACAGTCATTGGTGGAAAGTACCGGAAAGACTACGGGAGACTGAAGATACGACGGTGGCTAATAAAATCTAAAACTCCATAATACTCATTGATTTTATTAGATGTTTAGAATAAGTGTGTTTCCGTTTCACGTGCTGTTGGGAGAGTTCACCTCGCAGACCTCGTGGGAGGAAAGGCCTCTCAGGAGAAAGGTTCAGCTGGACTCACTCCTGTGTCCTCTGTTGTTTACTGGTCACTGTTTCTATTGGGTGGATCATTATGATTTGTTCTTGTGCAGCTATTGCTTGGGAGCCATTTATTGCTTTTCTTCTCTAGGGTGGCTACTCAGCGGGTGGGTTTAGGCCTCTGTAGAGGTGCCATTGAGCACTAGGTTCATTGTAACTTCCTCCCTCCTGACTGTAGGGAAGCTGCTTTCAGATTTCACCCGGGAGGCTCCCCAAGTTTTGAACCAGCAGTGATCCAAGTAGTAGTTTGTTGTTGTTTTTTTGAATTCTCACTCAAGGATATTTTTCCCATTGCTTTTCAGAGAGAGAGAGAAACATTGATGTGAGAAACACACATCCATTGGTTGCCTCCTGCACGCACCCCAACCAGGGACAGAGCCTGCAACCCAGGTGCATGCCCTTGACCGGGAATTGAACCCGAGACCTTTCAGTCTGCAGGTCGATGCTCTAATCACTGAGCCAAACCGGCTGGTGCCCAAGTGGTGTTTTAAGTTCCTTTTGATGAACTTCAGTTCTTCCTTGCTACTAACTTCTACCTTCCTCTAATGCTTGCTTATATCACCACGAGGACACGGATAGCAGGGATGGCGCCTATGGGCTCAACTGGTNTACCTTCCTCTAATGCTTATATCACCACGAGGACACGGATAGCAGGGATGGCGCCTGTGGGCTCAACTGGGCTGGGGTCTCTGTCATCTCCCCTTTAGGACATTAAAAGATCAAAGACCCTTCCCTGGCTGGTGTGGCTCAGTTGGTAGGAGCATTGTTCCATGTACTGAAAGGTCTTGGATTTGATTCCTGGTCAGGGGCTCATGCCCAGGTTGTGGGCTCGATCCCCAGTAGGGAGTGTGCAGGAGGCAGTCGATTGATGTTTCTTTCTCATTGATGTTACTATCTCCCTCTCCCTTTCCCTTCCTCTCTCTCTAAAAAATCAATAAAAGCATATACTTTTTAAAAAGAATGGGTCACATTTTCATATTTCTTTGTATGTTGAAGTCATTTTGAATTTTATCCTTGGCATTGTGAATGTTATGTGGCGACTCTGGATTGGGTTATGTTTCTCTGAAGATTGTTTGCTTGTTTTAATTTTTAGTGAGCAATTAAGTAGAGTTTTGTAAGTTTTGTTCTCGTATCCTTCCTAGGCCACCTGGAATCTCCCAGTATTTGCATGGCTCAGGGGACAGCTGGAGCTTTGGGCAGCATTCATACAGAACCTGAGGCTCCCCTACTGATTTTAGTTCTAGAATTGCTCTCTCACCTTCCAGCTGCTGCAGTGGCCTCAAACTGTGTCCTCTCCACAATCTGCTACCTTTGGGCTATTCTGCAGAGCCTCAGATGGTCTGTTTTGCATTTTGCACGTAGATATAGTTATATATATATCATAGCAGTTTGGGCATGAGCTTAACTCAGCCATCGTTGGGAGTGGACCCCCACCTACCCTTTTTCAGTGGTTTTGGGGGGCCTCACCTACTGTGTCCCTAGAATCAGCGACATCAAGTTTCCATGATAACTCAACAGCTCACCAGGCTATTCTTTATTTTCCTAAATCTTTAGTTCAAAACGTAATGCCCCTCTGCACTTTGAAACTACATCCGGGAAAGAATGGTCCTCTCAGTGTCATTCCTCCCAGTGTTGCTCTAACCCGTCTGCCCCCCACCAAGACCTTGTTCAGACCTTTGTGAGCCATTCTTTCTTGTTAACTCTTTGCTGTTGGTTCCTTTTTTAAACCCTCTCATAAAAAGCAAACACCAGTTTACAGCTCTCCCCTCTCCGAGAGACCTCCTGTCTCTTTCCCACCCTTTCCTGCCCCTTTCTTTCTTTTTTTTTTTAAACCCTCACCTGAGGATATTTTTTCCATTGCTTTTTTACGGAGAGTGGGGGGCGGGGGAGAGATAGAGAGGGAAACATCGACGTGAGACACATCGATTGTTTGCCTCCTGCAAAATACAACTAGTTGCAGAATAGCCCAAAGGTGCCGACTGGGGCCCGATTGAACCTGCAACCCAGGTACGTGCCCTTGACCGGAAATCGAACCCGCAGCCCTTTGGCGCTCGGGCGGAAGCTCTGACCACTTAGCCACACCAGCCAGGGCTATTTAGAACAGCAGAGCTTCCCTCCCATGAGGCATTTCCTGCACTTTCCAAACGTTTCCTCCGCCCACACGTCTTTGGAATCAAGCAGCGGCCGCCTCCCTGTTTTCATGGGTGGAAGGATTTCCCAGTTTGATTTGAGAACACAGCTGAGCCGCCCACCCCTTTCTCCGTGGGAGGCGCTCCCTGAGGATTAGGCCGGCCACTGACGCACAGCTGCGGTGACAAACCCGGGCCAGGCTCTCGGATTGCCGATTCCGCCACAACACGGTTCTGGTCCTGCCCTTTCTGCTTCCTCACACCTTACAGTTCACAGCCCCCATCCCTGGGCCGGGACTGAGTCATCCCAGCATTGAGCCCAGAAAGGTTCCCAGCGTCGCTCGTGACTGCAGCTGTCCCTCTCCAGTTTGCTTTTGGCTGGAGTTTCAGACCTTCCCACCTGCTCGGTCCCTCTCCCTTACCTGTTCCTGAGCGTCCAGCTCGTCCTGAATCCCCAGCTTCCCTGATCCTGACCCTGGACGTCTGTCCTGTTCTGTGGGAGCGCCTGGTGTCCCCTATCAGAGAGAATCCTCCATCCCGCGTAGGTAGGGTTTGTTTTTTGNGTTCTGTGGGAGCGCCTGGTGTCCCCTATCAGAGAGAATCCTCCATCCCGAGTAGGTAGGGTTTGTTTTTTGTTAAAAAATAGGTTTTTATTGATTTTTAGAGAGAGAGGAAGGGAGAGGGAGAGAGAGAGAAACATCAATGATGAGAGAGAA